GTTATCGGCTACATGAGTTTTAAAATATCGGCATATCGGATATCGGCCAAAATCCCAATATTGTGCATCCCTATATTTATGTATATGTTGGTAAAGACAAGAGCAAATTGGGGCTTGGTGTACATGTACATTGTTTTCGTTGTCATTAAAAGTTGATGTATTTCAGTAACTTGATTCATTTGGCAAAATATAGATTAGTGGGTTAATATTTTCAAAATGAACATTTAATTTGACAAATGAGTCTCATTTGAACACTTTTTCCAATGAATGTGGCTGTAAGGGATCTTTAAAATTCACCCGAAAGAAGACTTTATGACGGCATCAGTATTACCTTGAAACAAGCACACAACCGACATAGTTACTGTCATCAGTAGAAAATAATTTTTAAAAAAGCGCTAATGGTTGGAAACTGTTAATCATATACCAGTATTATGTTTTAGATTTGATCACCATGTTTACATTTTATCACTTCTGCACTTTAGAAATAGGAATGTCATGAGAGCTGTTCTGAACAAAATTTCTTTTTCTATACACTCTATGTACAAAATGACAAAGTCTAAGTCTAAAAAAGGAGCAGCTGAAAGAGAGTGAACTACAAGGAGCTTTTTTCTGTGCTACTGTACAGGCATAGATTTTATGCAACTCTGTTGTTAATATTTAATGTTACAGTGGCAGAGGAAATTCCTCAATCTGATTCCTCTTTCTAAACACAGTTCAGCTGCACAGTTAACGAATTTTCAGACATTTATAACTTGAATGTAAGAGTTGTGAAACAGTGAAAATATTTAACCATTTTGTTTTTCTGAATCGCCTCATAACTGCAGGACATTTAACTGGGCCCTGTCAATGGGTGGGAAAGTCCCTGTGGCCGAGGGGTTGGAACATGCAGATCTTCCAGATGGGACGGGGGAGTTCCTGGATGCCTGGTTGATGCTGGTGGAGAAGATGGTTAATCCAAGTACTGTGTTGGACTCGCCCCACTCCCTGCCTGCTAAAATGCCTGGAATCACTCCCACTATGCCCCAGTTTAGTGCCCTTCGCTTCCTCATAGTCACCCAGAAGGTCAGTATTTGAACACGAGCCACTTTTAATCAGTTTCTTTTTCATTTTTGGACATCAAGAATAATATTGTGCTGATCCCTCAAAATAATGATTCTCAAACATATTTTTCTTTTTTTTTTCTCAAAGAAAGCCACATTGGTGGTGCTAGGAAACTTAAAAATTAAATTCCTTTTCTACCATTTTCAGTTGAATGATCTTTGTGTTTTTCTTTGGGTCAGTTAGAAAACAAGTTCCTCACACTTTGCTGTTTATAATTTAAAAATGTCCTTCCTAGACTGTTTTACGATTTGAGAGTTTTTTTTTCTCCTTTAAAAGTTAAACCATCAGTCCCTTTTTCCTCAGTGTTGATTCAACAAGAGGAACTCTTGGAAAAACGGACTCGATAAGCACAAAATTTTATTAGATTATTACATAAGGTTGATTAGATACATGCATTATGTACTATGTTTGTTCAAAATATCATCCTTTAAGCATAGATATACGTCTTATTATTTTTTTAATCCAATTAGAACAGGTCCTGAGTGCTGAAGTTGACTGCTTCATTTAAGTAGTTTGTTTCCCATTAACAGGAATTTCTCTAACCAAGTTCTTGTTTTGTTTTTTAAATTAAGGCTGCATTCAGCTGTATCCGCAGTCTGTGGAATAGGAAGCCTCTAAAGGTGTATGGAGGCAGAATGGCTGAATCTATGCTGGCCATTCTTTGCCACATACTGAGAGGGGAGCCTGTGATCCAGGAGCGTCTGGCTAAGGAAAGAGAGGGAACGACTCGCCCAGATGAAGAAGGGACATCTAGTAGCTCTTTGGCACCCAGTGTGGCTCCAGGAGGCTCCTCAACAACAGCAGAAACATCAGTAGCTAGTGGAACAACGTCTGGAGCTCCAGCTGTAGGATCAGCTGATGATTCCACTAATTCCACTCCCCGACATGAGCCTCAAGTCAATCAGGCTCAACTAACACAGGTATTCCGTCTCAATCTTTTTTTTTCTCATCTTGACTGAAGGTTTGTGCCATTTTAATGGATTTTAGTTAGATTTACCAGAAATTAGTGACAAGTTTCTATTTTTCATGAAGGCTCCCAGCTTTTGCTGTCATCACAAAACAGTGTGAGCATTGTGAGTCATTGTAAAACAGAATTCTTCTCATTTAAAAAAAAGCATTTTGAGTTTACAGTTCAGCTTTAACTGTAGCCATCACCTTTTATAGAAATTATCCACCATAGAATCTTGAGGGCTAAAGGTTTCTCCAGATTCACAGTATTCCAGGTTGAAAAGAGTCATATAATAAACTCAGTTTTCCTGATAGATTGAAATTATGTCCTGTAGTAGACAACATAACTGACAGAGTAAAAGGTCCCGAAGCCACTGAAGTATACAACTCTGTGGTAGGCAAGGCAGGTTTATTTTTGTAGCACATTTCAACAAACAAGATCATTTTAAATGACTGAACATACGGAAAGACAAACAAGAGTTGCACTTGCAATGATAAAGGACAAAGTTGGTTTATAAAATTAAGCTAAAAATGTCCTAGTTACCCTTTTAAATTGACCTAAGGTAACTCTAAACAATGGTTTCATAACCTTTATTCAAAGCATACAATGTTTTAAGCCTGGAATTTGTTCCAGATTATTGGAGAAAAAACTGAAAGCTACTTCTCAATGTTTAGTTCTTTGTATGTAGTGACTTGAGCCAGAAAACTTTAGAGGTCCAATTGATTTATACACTGATAACAGGTCAGTTTCAGGGTACGGTAATTCAATCATTGGCTCACATTTTTTCCACATCAGAGACATTCACAGGTCATACCTGTGAAGCAGAGGATGACCCCTATACCAGAAGGTATAGGGGCCATCATCTACTTTCTGTTTTTTTTTTTTATTTAATGGTTAATGGTACCTTTTTTTTTTTTTATTACTTCTTTGTTGTATGAAAGTTAAATAACTAATATGTTGGGTTTTAGCTCATGGACATGGGTTTTTCAAGAGAGCATGCCATGGAGGCTCTACTCAACACCAGCACTATGGAGCAAGCCACAGAGTATCTGCTAACCCATCCTCCTCCACTTCTTGGTGGAGCGGTGAGGGTAAGGTTTCAGAAACCAAAAACGGGATACATTGAATTTTATTTTTTTTTTCCTTATCTTCGTTTTAGATGATAAGATTTCTGATATGTGGCTTTCATTTCATTAGGATTTGACCATGTCTGAGGAGGATCAGATGATGAGGGCCATTGCCATGTCACTTGGGCAAGAGGTCAGCATGGAGCAGCGTTCTGACTCCCCTGAGGTTTGTCACTTTAACTGCTTAAAGTTGATGGGGAAAAAAATCAGTGTGGCCTCAAACACTTATTTGTTTTTCAGGAAGCGGCACGCAGGCGAGAGGAGGAGGACAGGCGAGCAAGGGAACGTGCAGAGGAAGAGGAGGCACGCTGTTTGGAGCGCTTCATGGAAGCAGAGCCTCTGGACCCACAGGAGCTTCACACCTTCACCGACTCCATGCTTCCTGGTTGCTTCCATCTTTTGGATGAGTTGCCTGACACAGTTTACCGACTCTGTGACCTCCTGATGACTGCAATCAAGCGGAGTGGACCCGAATACAGAGACCTCATTCTAGGTCAAGTAGTGCACCAGGTCAGTGAATCAATTTATGGTTCAGACATTTAAATAAATCCTGTTTTGATCTTGATAAAGCAGCTATGAACATCCTACTGATCTTATTACTATTATAGGTGTGGGAGGCTGCAGATGTGCTTATCAAGGCTGCTGAACCACTGACGACTAGTGACACAAAGACCGTGTCTGAGTGGACGCGGCAGATGGCAACACTCCCCCAGGCCTCGAAGCTGGCAACACGAATTCTCCTGCTCACGTTGCTCTTTGAGGTGCCAGAATTGAAGGTTTTAGCCATAAAATGTTATAAAGGGTCAAATTTTCATTTAATATTAGTTTATATCTGGCAACATTTTCCTTTATACCTTCCACATGTTTTTCTCTGTAGGAACTGAAATTGTTAGGAGCCAGAGTGGTGGAAAAAAGCGGCATTCTTGATTTGCTGATCAAACTCCTTGAGGTTGTGCAGCCCTGTCTGCAAGCAGCTAAAGAGCACAAAGAGATTCAGACACCCAAGTAGGTTTCTTTATTTTTTGTGGTGGGGTTGTGGATCTTTAAATAAAAGGACTATATTTTATAAACCATAAACATGCTCAAAAACCCAGTGTTTATTTTTCACAGATGGATTACGCCAGTGCTGCTGCTTATCGATTTTTATGAGAAGATGGCAGTATCCTCAAAACGAAGGGAGCAAATGAACAAGGTGGAAAACACTACATAAATGTATTAAATGTGAATGTTTAAATGGTTACTTTATTAGGGAATACACCTTAGCTCTAAATAATAACTTTGATAACTTAGATTATTTAGAATCATCAAAGATAAAATGATTGCTGTAAGTTTATTTAAAGGTGAAACCCACATATGATAGACTCACTACACGCAGTTAGAATTCTCAGTTTCTACAAATTGTTACAATTATAAAAAGCAACTAATAAAAAGCCCAATCACTGTTGCTCAAAAAGGTAAATATCCAATATCAATTATTGATAAAAAAAAAATAACGTTTTGTTCTTGAAATGCTGCGATCTGACATGTTATGGCGTTTGACTGCTACTTCAATTGCAGTGAAAAGCTGAACAAAAACACTTGATAGATCATGTTGCAGTTCTTAAGTATTTGGCTGATTTTCTTTCCATCTTTAGTATCTGCAGCCCAATGGAAATAACTGGCGATGGTTTGATGATCGCTCAGGACGTTGGTGCAGTTACAGTGCATCCAACAACAGCACCATCGACTCTGCATGGAGGGCTGGTGAGAGCAGTGTCCGCTTCACAGCTGGGCGGCGGAGATACACTGTGCAGTTTAACACTATGGTGCAGGTATGTATCTCTATTACACTGTCTTTATAAAAAATTGATTGGTTGGTTGACCAGATTTAGCTGATTATAAACTCTCTAATCTGACAGGTAAATGAAGAGACTGGTAATAGAAGGCCAGTGATGTTGACTGTCCAGAAAGTGCCTCGCATTACCAAGCCGTCCAAGACTGGTAATGTTCCAGATTCTGAGAGAGAGGAGGGTGACAAGCCCAAAGTGGAGGAAAGCCAAACCAATGTAGACTCAGGAGTGGCTGTGGAGATGAGTGCTCCTAAAGAGGACTCCAGCCAGCTGAAGGAGACGCCACCTCTGGAGTCGGACTATGCTCAGGGAACTGACATTGTTGTTAAAGGCCTGTCTGATGATATGACCACTGTTCTTATCCGGGCCTGTGTGAGCATGATCAGCGTTCCTGTTGACCCTGACACCCTTCATGCCACTCTTCGTCTCTGTTTGCGCCTCACACGTAACCATCACTATGCAATGATGTTTGCTGAGCTAAAGAGTACGCGGATGATTCTGGGACTGACGCAGGGTTCCGGCTTCAATGGCTTCACTCCGCTGGTGACTCTGCTGTTCAGGCACATCATAGAAGATCCGGCTACGCTGCGGCACACCATGGAGAAGGTTGGTTTCCTTCCTCAGTATAATTTTAAGAATACTCCCAAAAATTCTATTTATTTTTTCTTTTAAATAACACTTTTATGCTTTTCACTTCCAATCTTCAAGGTGGTGAGGTCAGCTGTGACCAGTGGCGCAGGTAGCACCACATCAGGTGTGGTTTCTGGCAGCCTAGGTTCCAGAGAAATCAATTACATCCTCCGTGTCCTTGGCCCCGCTGCTTGTCGTAACCCTGAATGCTTCATTGAAACAGCCAGTAACTGCATCCGTATTGCTCTTCCTGCACCCCGTGGAGCTGGGACCAGTAAGTCATCAAACCTTTCAGTTGTCTAATCAAAGCGTTTTCAGTTTTGAAGTTAAATACTCATTTAATCTCCATGTATGTAAAAAAAAAAAAATTTCCCACACATTAGCTTTTACTGTTTCCAATTCATTTTTTTCTTTTACAGCATCTGATGATGAATTTGAGAACCTTCGAATTAAGGGACCTAATGCTGTGCAGCTAGTGAAGACCACTCCTCTGAAGCTGTCTCCTTTGCCCCCTATCCCTGATACAATCAAGGAAGTCATCTATGACATGCTCAACGCCTTGGCCGCCTACCACGCTCCTGAAGAACGTAAGACATTTCCCTCACAGTAATTATTCTGGATGATCTGATATCAAGTGTTGATGGATTACCTGAATGTCTCACTCATGAACATTTGAATGAAGTGGCCTGTTTGTTTGCGTTTCAGCCGAGCGTCCAGAGGAACGTGCTGCAGCTGCACCTAGCACCCAAGATCTTTGCCAGATTTTACAGGATGTGGGGGATGATGTTTACCAGCAGTACCGGCTTACCCGACAGGGGAGTGACTTTGACTCCCAATCAGCATTCCATATCAATGTAAGGCTTGTAAAGAAGAAACAAAACACCTGCATAGTTTGGGCATTACCATTTACATTAGACATTAACTGCTCTGCATCTCCTCCTTTCAGGCGCAAGTCTTTGCTGCTGACGGTGGTGCAGCAGAGTCTTCTCAGTCTGGGACCCCACAAGGTGAAGGTAATGATTTTTGTTTTTCTTTTTGGGGGTAAAGATGTAAAATATAGCTGCAAAGAGCACAAAGTAGATAGAAGTAAACGATACGGCAAATACAGATCGTCTTATCAAAAGCTTTGAAATGCTCAATCCTGTATTTATGAAAATCTAAAACAAATTGCATCTTGTTTTATACCACTAGCTTAAACAACTTGTATATATCTTTGTAAAGGTTACTGTCAGTAGGTTTGTTTTTTTTGTTTTTTTTAGCTAATATATTTGTAAAATCTGGCCTTTTATTATTTCTGTTTCTTTGCGTTTAAAACTTTCTCAGCCTCCACCCCAGAGGAAATGCGGGAGGAAAAGAAGGAACAGGAAGGTGAGAAAGGTGTCAACTCGGATGAGAGCAAAGCTGCTAAAGTAAAGGCAAGCAAGCCTCTCATGCCAACCTCTACCATCCTGAGACTGCTAGCTGAACTTGTGCGCTCCTATGTGGGCATCGCCACTCTAATCGCCTCTTACTCGTACACCGCTGGACAATCTGAGCTCATAAAGGAGGTAAATAATTGAGCAGGATTAGATGAACTTCTGAAGAAATATTTTTGTTTTACGTTTCTTGTTGATTTACTTTTATCTTTACAGGATTGCAGTGTTCTAGCTTTTGTGCTCGACCATTTACTGCCTCACACACAGAATTCAGAGGACAAAGACACCCCAGCATTGGCACGCCTCTTTCTGGCCAGCTTAGCAGCGGCTGGGACAGGCACTGATGCCCAGGTGGCCTTGGTGAATGAAGTAAAAGCTGCTCTTAGTAGAGCGCTAGCAATGACAGAAGGTGCTGAAAAACATGCCAGGTAAATAAATATTAAATATTTCCCACAGCATGGTGAGCGGATTGTGTTGAATACGAGTTGTACCTTGGATCTTTTTTAACATGATTGTTCTTGTCCTACTGTTTCCTTTTCATAGGCTCCAGGCAGTCATGTGCATCATCAGCACCATCATGGAGTCCTGTCCCTCCACATCCACTTTCTACAGCACAGCAGCTGCCAAGACTCAACATAATGGCATGAACAACATTATAAGACTCTTTCTCAAGAAAGGACTGGTCAATGACTTGGCACGTGTGCCTCACAGCTTGGATTTGTCCAGGTGAACCATTGACCTATTTTTATTTGATGAGAAAATGAAATTAGTCTAATAAAAAAATAGATTTCTGTTGAAGTTTCAGGCTAATCTTGGCCTTTTTTTTTTTTTTTTAAAAAAGATTTCTGTTGAAGTTTCAGGCTAATCTTGGCCTTTTTTTTTTATAAAACTAAATTTACTGGTGTGATTTTTTTCTTTTTTACTTTGTATTAATTGACATTGAAAACCTGACTTGAAACCTTCATCCTGATGCTCGGTCGTAGGCATCAAAATGTAGACTTCCAATTTTGCGACTATGGTGACGGTGAACTTAAAGCAGAGATAACGGAAGTGGTTATGCAGAATATAGTTTCTAAAATCTGATTACCATTATATACCATTATAGAACGCCACTTAAATCCATTCTTTTATGTATTTATTTTTAGTCCTAACATGGCCAACACGGTGAATGCGGCTCTAAAACCTCTGGAGACTCTGTCACGCATTGTTAACCAACCCAGCAGTCTATTTGGAGGCAAAGGTGGATCCAGCAAGAGCAAGACGGAACATGAGACTGCTGGCACAACCAGGGATAGCAATAGCAACACGCAAGACCAAGGTACTACCTGAAAGTAATGATGTTGTCACCAGATGATTACCATGCACATGCTCAGTGTTCATGAGTAAAATCTAATCCAGGAGAGTCTGGAGAAACGGAACCAGTGGATGGCAGCCACAGGGTTCAGGGAGCAGACGCTGACCTCATGGATGGAGAAACAGAAGGGGACACGGTGGTCATTGCCGGGCAACCAGAGGTTCTGAGTACACAAGCCATGCAGGTAACCATGACAGCATCATGTGGTAATATGTTCAGTGTTTACATATAGTCATGATTATTTCTTTTCTCTGTTAACTTGGTTTTTATTGATAATTTTTGTTCATTAGGTTGAGAATGAGTTGGTGGACCTTATTGATGAGCTGCTGGAGAGAGATGTCAGTACTGCAAACAGTACAATTATAGGTAAACCAATCAGAAGAAAGCGACTCATTTTAAAGTTTCAAATTAATTGTAGTTTGGTAATGTAGCGCTCCCCACGCTCCAGTAAGAAATGTTCTGGACAATATCATTTAATTAGAATTCATAGTTAACATTTCATGATTTGAGATGTCTGGTATTATTTAATGGTTATGGAATCATCTCACATTGTCTTTAATCTTCGTTAGTTGGCCGTAGTGGTGGGGACGAATCACAAGAGGATGTGCTGATGGATGAGGTCCCATCTAATATTAGCCAGGCATCTACACTTCAGGCTAACCGTGAAGGTATGTCATGGGCACTTAAAGCTGTCTGATCATCAATTTGTCGTTCTACATTATAAGAAACCAAGCGTACAGATAAAAGATGCAACCTTTTGCATTTGCCAAAATAAAAAGGTTGAATAGCTTATCAATTTCTTTAAATTTGTTGGGTAAAAGCACTAGCACTTTAGATCATAATGTCCTGTGTTTACTGGAGAACTGATCATCAGAAGGATTTATGTGACTGTGGATGCCTTTGGGGTGATAAAAGAACTGTGTATAATTTCCTTAATAGACTCCATGAACATCCTCGAACCGGAGGATGAGGAGCATACACAAGAGGAGGACTCGAGTGGCAGTAATGATGATGAGGACAGTCAGGATGAGGAAGAAGAGGAGGAGGAAGAAGAGGAGGAGGACCAGGTATGCATCAATGTAGGAGAGTTTGTTTCAGCCTTACTGATGGATATGGCACATGTTCATCACTCCTGCTGTTTCTTTAAGGATGATGAAGAAGGAGATGAAGATGATGATGACGAAGGCTCTGAAATGGAGCTGGATGAAGATTTCCCTGATATCAACGCTGCACCCCACATCCGCTTCGAAAGGTTTGACAGGGATGATGACCTCATCATAGAGTTCGACAACATGTTTTCCAACAACGGTAGGTAGAAATATTGTTTACAAAAAAGTTTGTTTTTCAAAGAGCTTATTTTTTTAATCAAAGCTTGGGATGCAATGTGCCATGTATTTTTTAATAGATTTTTTCCAAATATTTAATGGGTGCTTTCCCCTAATGCTTGCCTTTTGTCTTCTGTTCCTCCAACAGCTGACATCCCTTCCTCCCCAGGGAACATCCCCAGTTCCCATCCTCTAATGGTGCGCCATGCTGATCACGGTTCACTCACCTTAGGCGTGGGCAGTTCCAGCAGCCGCCTGGCACAGGGCATGGGTCGCAGCCAGCGGACACTCCGTCAACTCACTGCCAACAGCGGGCACACCATCCATGTCCACTACCCTCATAACCGGCAGCCCAATCCTCCACTCATTTTGCAAAGGTAACACTACACTCTTGGAACTATTTAAGGCCTCTGGTTTCTGGGACCTACAACCTTCTTTTCTTGTGTTTTATTACTAATTGGAATATTTGACCTCTTGTCCCTTTTCAGATTGCTGGGCCCAAGTGCTGCAGCAGACATTTTACAGCTGTCCAGCTCTCTGCCTCTGCAGTCCCGTGGTCGTGCCCGGCTTCTGGTTGGAAATGAGGATGTCCACATTATTGCTCGTTCTGATGACGAATTGCTGGATGATTTCTTTCATGAGCAAAGCAGCACAGGTGGACAAGCGGGTAAGGATTACAACACACTCCAGTCAATGGGTTTGTTTCCCTTTGCAAGTCCAGGAACCAAGCAGTTTTCATGAAAATAGTAAGGTTAAAAACTTGGTGCAGAAAAAGCTTTTGCTAACAAGTTAAGCATTTTGATTTGGTACTTTAGCTCTCTTAGTAGAAGGAGGGAGTAAATCCTCCAGGCAAAGTCGGGCTTGAAGATTTTTCAAAATCTTATGTCCTGAATCACAAATTAAATGACAATCCACATTTTGTTATTTTACTTTGTTAAATCGTCATAGCACTTAAGTGTGAAGGGGTCTATTCTCCTCTGTGACGTTTCTGTACTCAACTAGTCTACTAAAATCTGAGAATGAGTTTAGTTTATTTGGTTATTAAGTGTTAACCTGAGGTTTCAAAAGTTAGTTCGGTTGTTTCATGGAAAAACAGTTGCTAACAGAGCACATTAAATTGCTACTGTTCTAGACACTGTACCTTATTCGGAGCTAGAAGCTTATTGAATCAATGTGAACGCTATCTTTCAAACAATCTCTACTGACTTAGTCCTCAGGCGGTGAAAAAAACCAACTAGTTCTTCTGCAGAACCAGTTGAGAATGGCATTGGCTCCCATCGTGATTACGAATTAGAACCCTTTGTGTCAAAGGCCTCATAACCAGCTGGATATGATGTCTGTTGACAATCCTGCTTTAGGAGTTGTTGCTCAGGAAAGTAGTTTTTTTGTGGAATGTTTAGAAACTCCAAAGGGTAAAAATGTATGTGTAAAAAGAGAAGGATCAGTAAATATAAGTCAAAGCAAGCCATATGTCAATATTTTATGTTTTTTTTTTTCCTGAAGTACTAATATGCGTGTGTTTTATCTCTTTAGGTACTCTGTCGAGTATTCCCACTGCCTTAACGAGATGGACAGACGAGTGCAAAGTGCTGGATGCTGAGAGTATGCACGACTGTGTAGCAGGTGAACTGATTTTAAACTTTTTCCAAAGCAGTTCCTGTTTATAATAGTCCCTTGAATAAGGAAATGTCTTATCCATTGTTAAATTATTTTTCTGTAGTTTGCATGTCTGTTTTAAAAAATGGTTTGTTCAGGCAAAATAAACTTGAAATTCATTTTACATGTTTTGCACTACCTGCTACCTTTTTTAAGCTATTTTGACAGGGGTTCACTTACCTTGCTTTTGCTATTAAGGGAGGCAAATAAGATCTTATTAAACTTTGTGTTTCATCAAAATTGTTTTAATACTTGGATCCAAGTAGTGCAAACTCACCTGTTCTGTTCTGTACAAGTTGAGCCTCAGCCTTTTTATGACACTGTCCAACAGTTCAGGTTTTTTGTTTTACACTAAAAAGCAGTAAGTATTAATATCTAAATTTCATCTGCATTAAACAGTTTTTGGCCTATTCTAATATCCCTTTTCTGACTGAAACTGCCAGTGTGGATAAGTATGCAGATTTATGGTCCAGTGAAAACGACACTGAGTTTCAATAAGAACAGAATTTGTATACCAACTTCTCTTTTTGGTCTGATTTATAATTTTTTTTTTTTTATTTCAGTGGTTAAAGTTCCGATACTGCAGCATCTGGAGAGTCTAAGAGATGAGGAACTGGAAGAACGCAGGGAGAAGAGAAGAAGGCAGCTGGCTGAGGAGGAGGAGTCAAAACAGAATGAAAGGAGGGCATCTGGAGCAGAGCAAGTGAGGGAACAGAACCTACAGGTTTGCAGGACATTTTTCTCAGAGCACACTGATAAGTTTGTCTTCACCATAGCTGGAGTTACTAGATACAACTTTCTCAAACTTGTTCAGATGATTCGAGCTGTCATTTATTTTTTTGAATCCTTGTTTGAAAATTCCACCTTATAGTTACATTTTATTGCACTCTTAAAGACTGCTTGAAAGAGCTTTGAAAACCATTTGGAACTGCACAAATTCAAAATGCAGAAGAATGAGAGTCGACCAAGATTTAGCAAAGATTAAACATTTTGAAAATAACAAAGATGGATGGATTTCTTCTTTCCTTTTGACTAATTTGTGACCAAACATTGAAAAGATGCCCACAACTAGGGATTAATGAAATTTAGTTTTTACACATTGGTGTTTAAAACAGTCTGTCGGTAGCAGGTAGTGACATTTTGTGTTGGATATTTTTTGTCCTCAGGGTTCTGGATTGGGAACAGTTAATGGTGCAGAGAACACTGCAGGTACTGATATTTATAATACTAAAAACATTTGTTTGTTGTTTTTTTTTTTTGTTTTTTTTTTTTTTACAATTTCATAAGGACTACCAAGAGGCAAGCATCCAGCTTGCATTGCGTGCTGTGGGATGAGGTAGTAGTTTGTATAGTTTTAGGATCACACCAGATCTGGGAGATAACTATACAGTCTACTGTCTTTCTTATGGCCACGCTGTATCATCTGGACATCTTCGACATTAGTATTGTCTTCCTCCTTTTAATGCTCCTTGTTAAACATGTTTATCGTGCTTACAAAATAAAATAAAAGATTTTGCACTGACAATAAGAGGATCTTTAGTTTCTGTAATTCCTTAAAGAAATGTAAAGATGTTTTTTTATCCATCCTTCTTCTTGAATGAAGGTCACTCCCAGTCATAAGGCTGATCTGGGAGATAATTTTCATCCTTTAATAAAATATTTTGATCCTGATTGTTTTAATTCTCTATTGGAAAGAATATTCCATCCTAAATGGTTCATCTGCGATTGAAAGTGTTGTAAACCATTAAAACTATGTTAATTTCATCAGACTTAGCTGTATGATTTATAGCCAACAGTTCATCTAAATCTCTAGATAAGGCTGCTGATCGACAGCAACCATGGTTTATGCGATTGTTTTATTTTGTAGTCAATCATACATGTTTTCCTGCGACTGCCTACACTGTGGTGAGGTAGTAAGTTGTGTTGTTGGAGGGGATCAGGATTGTGCACCCCATATAGGAGATAACTATACAACTTACTTCCTTCCTTAGTAGAGGCTGATGACATCTAATGGGTGGCTTGGGCTTAGTGAGAAGACTAGATGCTTTATCTGAAAATTATGGCTTTGATTCTTCTTAGTATGTCTATTTATGTGGTTGAGGACTTAACCCCAGTTTGCCTGCCTATCTGCATATAGGTGTATGAATGTTTTGTAGATGTGCTTGTGCTCAGTCCACCAGCTGAAAGACTTTAATAAGTGTGTACAGTAACTCTGGACCTCGGTTTTAACACTCTCTCCAACTGGATCACAGAAGGTGAGCAGGCTCAGGAGGGTCAGATGGCATGCCTGGACGCACCCAGGGTCTCAGAGGGCTTCCTCACCGCTCCCCCATCTGGAGAGGTCACTCCCACCACCCCTGCTCCACACGAACAGGCCCTGGTCTCCCTGGAGACCGCCATTAGTCAGCAAGTCCACCAGCCAATTGCTGACCTGCTCATGGCGGAATCGCATGCCAGCTCACTGGCTGCTCTGGCTGGGGCGGGCCTACCCACCCTGTCAGAAACCCAGAGACCAAACACGGAAGCAGAAGCATCCCAGATGGAAATGTCCCCGGCTCCCACAACTGGTGAGAGAGTTGGAGGAGGTGGTGGAGGAGGAGCATTGGATGAAGTCAGGGAAGGTAGACTAACTTTAAACAGACTATTTATACAGACGCCAACAACTAGGGCTCATAATGCATTTTTATTTGGAAAAAACACTTATTTGTTCTAAATCCAGTAATGGAGAAGTTATCAGTACCCCCATCTCTCCTCAGCCTCCCTAAGCCCGGATATTGTAGAAAACACTGAGCCTGCAGCGGCTGGTGTGTCTCAGTTGGAAGGATCCCCCATGGATACCAGCAGCCCTGCATCTGCTACTCAGGAAGAAGCTGCTCCCAATCCTCCTCAGACCACCCAGCTGTCCCAGGAGCTGTCTGGCAGCAGGGAGAGTGGGCTGACTGACAGGCAGACTGATGCCGAGACTGGGTGGGTAACATTTGCTGTGAGAAGAAATTGATTCATTCTTGGATTTGGAGCTGCTGATTTGCAGTCTTTATTTCTTTATAGTATAACATTCTGTTTCATCATACAAGCTGGTTTTAATATGATTTAAGATATTAACATCAGCCAGTGGCTGTTTTCTTTCCATCAGGTCCACATCTGTTTCATCTCCCGGAGAGACGATGCCTCGGAGCGACAGCGCTGATAGCCAGTCCCAGGCCATCCAGGAGGAGCCTCTTCCATCCACCAGCAATGAGGACGAGGATCCGCTTGCTGGTAAAAAAAACAAAAAAACAAAACATTTTATTATCCCTCTAGTGCAAGTTTTTTTTTGTTTGTAAAGTCTAAATTAAACATCAGGTTAAACATAAAATTAATGCAGTTGGGGTTTAGAATTAGAATACCATTTATTTGAAATTAATTGAAAGTTTTTCATTTTTTCAGTTAAAAATAAATTAATATACAGGTATACCCAACAATTTAAAAAAGATTTTTGTTGGGTCCAAAAACTGTGTTATGAGACGCAGCCATGCTGTATTTAACATTTCCCTTCTGGATCGATGAAAGATAATTGAATTATGTTTCAAAACATATTCAGTCATTTTGTATTATTCACTAGCTTAATTAACATTCCTGTACGCAACTCTTTTAGAGAAGCACAATATTTACTATTGGGTTTTATTTTTTCTCAAACTCTGGTTGTATGCAATTTTTAATCATTGTTTTAATAAATTTCCACTATATCTCAACCTTCTCAGTTCACCTTTACAACTCCTTTTTTTTTGTTTTTATCTTTTGCAGGTATAAGTTTGCCAGAGGGTGTGGATCCATCTTTTCTTGCAGCTCTTCCAGAAGACATCCGCAGAGAGGTTCTTCAAAATCAGCTTGGTATCAGACCACCTTCACGTCCTCCCGCTACCACAACCTTGCCCTCCTCTAATGCGCCTGTGCTTAGTGGACCAGGGGTTACAGAGGTCAGCCCTGAGTTCCTGGCGGCTTTGCCACCTACTATTCAGGAGGAGGTGAGGAAAATTACAATCTTTTATAACAGGAGATTAGATGTTTACTTTATTAAGATGCATGGTTTTCCTGCCAATACAAGAGTCGGATTTGTCTTCTTAGGTTCTTGCCCAGCAAAGAGCTGAGCAGCAGAGAAGAGAGCTAGCGCAGCAGCCTCCAACGGGAGACACTCCCCTGGATCCAGTCACTTTCATCCAGACATTACCATCAGAGCTGCGGCGTAGTGTTCTTGAAGACATGGAAGATAGCGTGTTGGCTGTCATGCCTCCAGACATTGCTGCTGAGGCAGCTGCATTGCGGAGAGAGCAAGAGGCCCGTCAGAGACAGCTAATGCACGAGAGGTTGTTCGGCCATAGCTCATCTTCTGCACTTTCAGCCATCCTGCGCTCGCCTGCCTTTACCAGCCGGTTAGGAAGTAACCGAGGGGTCCAATACACCCGACTGGCTGTCCAGAGAGGAGGACCGTTTCAGATGGGTGGAGGAACAAACCATAGGTATGAAAATATCCCATATAGTAGTTTTGATTTTATTTCTTTGATCTTGGAGTAGCATAATATATTTTTTTTAATACTTAGTTTTTTCACTTTTTAAAATGTCGAAGAAAGAACGTGGTTATTCTATCATTTCAAATTCTATGATTTTTTATTTTTATTCTCTCAGACCATCCAGCTCCAGTGTAGACTCATTGTTGCGTCTCCGTGGACGACTACTACTGGACCACGAGGCGTTGTCCTGCCTGTTGGTTTTGCTGTTTGTGGACGAACCGAAACTCAACACCAGTCGTCTGCACCGTGTGCTCAGGAACCTCTGCTACCACTCTCAGACTCGCGGGTGGGTCATTCGCAGCCTGTTGTCCATACTCCAACGCAGCAGTGAGAGCGAGGTCTGTGTGGAGACGTCACGTCTAGAAGATTGCAGGGGGAAACGAGGCAGCCAGGGGGGATGTGGAGGAAAAGGTTCAGCCGCCTCTTCCCTCTCCTCCTCATCGTCGTCATCCTTAGAGCTGCTAAACAGGGTGGAGTCACGAAGCTCCAGCCAGCTGTCTTGGCTCTCAGTCTCTATGGATGCTGCTTTGGGCTGCCGGACAAACATTTTTCAAATCCAGCGAGCGTCGGGTAGGAAACATGCTGATCGGCACGCAGCTGGCAGCTCCACAGGATCTGGAACACTAGGAGTATCGGGTGGAGCGACAGGAGTCACGTGTGCTGGAGGCGGAGGCTCCACAGTTCACATCCACCCACAGGCTGCCCCAGTGGTCTGCCGTCATGTCTTGGACACACTTATCCAGCTAGCTAAGGTTAGATTTCCACTCCTATATTAATAGTGCAAATATTAAACATAGCGGTTTACTGTGTAGTACTTATTTCTTCATGGTTGTCTGATTCTGCAGGTTTTCCCAAGTCACTTCACCCAGCAGCGATGCAAGGATGTGTCAGCAGCTGCTTCTGAGTTGGATTCCCGTCTTTGTTCAGGGTCCTCTGGAGGGGGAACTGGAGTTGGAAGCTCTAGATCAGGGTCCAACCCTAATACTCAGAACTCCTTGGGCTCCTCTGTAGCTACTCCTCAGTCTTTAGGAATCTCAACAGATTTCTGGGATCTGCTTGTCAAACTCGACAACATGAACGTCAGCCGCAAGGGAAAAGCCTCTATGAAGACTGTGCCCCTTGGTGGCGGAGCAGAGGCTGAGGGAGCACAGTTCAGCTTAGAGACATCCCCCCTTGGCCAACTGATGAACATGCTATCTCATCCTGTAATCAGGCGAAGCTCCTTGCTCACTGAAAAACTGCTCCGCCTTCTCTCCCTCATATCTATTGCCCTGCCGGACAACAAGGCAACAGAGGTGCCTGCTGGACACCCGACCCCACAGGCTGCCAACCCTAACGCGGCTAGTTCAGGGCCCACAGTGTCGATCACAACACAGGGTGCAGCTTTGATGGTCTCTGCCCAGCCCACTGTGACGATACCGGGGGCCTCTGGAGGAGCTGCAACCCAGAGTACTGCCTCAGGAACAAACATAACGGTCTCACAGGCTTCTTCTACTACGATCTCAATACCCACGTCCACTGGAATAACCTCAGCAGGTAATTCATCAATTACTCAAGTTTGTTCACATGTGACTTTACAAACTGTTTGATCACATATTTATCTTGAGCACGTTTGCTGTGATTCATATTTTTTCTACATAGGAAAACAGAGGGGTCAAATTTTAAGTACGGAGATCGACAAGATGGTGTCTACGGGACTCACTGAGAAACAGCTTCAACTTTCTGTGGAGGTATGCTGAGCTTATGGATTCACCAGGCTGTTGGTATTATGCCTTTTTAAGAAAACATACCGTGGACAATTTCTAACACTTTTACAGCAAAAATACTAATGAATGTACAGTTCTTAATAAAACCCTGACAGCCTTTAATTACTGTAATAACTTTGTTATAAATTCACATTAATTTAAAATACCATAAAAATCTAAATTTTACCTCATTCATACTCGTATATCAGATTAATGGATTGTGAACCAAAAAGATGTATGGTAGATATTGGTTAAAATGAACAGAATGTATTTTAATTCTTATCAACTATTAATGCTCCAATACACTTTGAATTTTACAAATTTTGTAATTAATAATAATAAACTGTTTTAAAAAAACTTGGGCCCATCAATGCCAAACACAAACATTTCATTTTTATTCTTCTCTGATTCTAAGGTCAGCTTAAGCAAGGCAAAAATGGATTGGCTCTATTTATTACTTTGACAAAATCAGGGTTGAAGGAGGAAAAGAAAAAAGAAAGACATGGAGTTTAATTAAAAGCAGTCGCCAGCATGGCCTCCTAATAATTTAGACCTGACAGTAGAGATACGTGGGTTCCTTTACTTCACTAATCTGTAAACTCTTTTCTTATCTGTTTAATAATGTTTCTCTTCTCTCCAAGGTGCTGACATCTCACTCATGTTCAGAGGAGGGTCTAGAGGATGCTGCTAACATTCTGCTGCAGTTATCTAGAGGCGACGGCTCCACCAGAGACACAGTGCTCAGGCTACTGCTTAGCGGAGCCAGGCATCTTGGATACACGCTATGCAAGCAGATTGGTGGGTTGTCAGAGGTTGTTCAGACGGAGTTTATCCTGTTCTCCTATACGAGAGCTTTGTGTTTCTTCAAGACTTCTAACATTCAGGTTTTTTTTTTTTCTTTCAGGCACATTGCTGGCAGAACTTAGAGAGTACAATTTAGAGCAGCAGAGGCAGGCACAGGCTGACTCCCATTCTCCAGATGGACCTCCAGAGGATCCCTCCCTATCTGCCAGGTTGAAGGGCAAGATGACCAGCAGGTGAGCAACTGATGTGTGTGAGCTGGTTGTCAATAGGCCAGGCGACTGTTTTAAAAGTCGAATTAAAAAAGCCCAGGTTATGTATATTTGTCAGCCGCTGCTTTGCTGTTGGTAACCTGCTTTGTTGTTGGTTGCTTCACAGGTTTGACGGGTCAGAGAGTGTGGTGATTGTGGCTGCACAAAAGCGCACACTTGGGGGGCGTGAGTTGCAGCTTCCATGCATGAGCTCGCTGACATCCAAAACATCAACACAGAAGTTTTTCCTGCGAGTGCTGCAAGTGATTATTCAGCTCCGTGAGGACACACGACGTGCCAACAAAAAAGCCAAACAAACGGGCCGGTTGGGTAAGACGATTTAACAGATAAGATCCTCCCAATGTGCGTAAATAATATTTTGTTAATGTGAAATAAAACTTGTCCTTTCTCAAACGCTAGGCTCCAGCAGCCTTGGCTCTGCCAGCAGCATCCAGGCTGCAGTGCGACAGCTTGAAGCTGAGGCCGACGCCATCATTCAGATGGTGAGAGAGGGGCAACGTGCACGTCGGCTCCAACAGGCCCCCCCTCCTACCGCTCCTTCTGCATCCGCCGCCGGATCGTCAGTGGCTGCCCCCCATGCTCCCACTGGTGCTGCTCCCACTACTGGCACGGCTGCTGCTGCCACGGTTAGCATGGCTGCACTGACAGCAGGCATATTCCTACATGCATAACAGTACAGCAAAAGAAGCCTTTATGAAATAATATTCATTGGGTACATAGTGTGGCAGTATGATCATTGTAACAATCATTATCAAGGTAGATGCTTTAGGATGACACTGGTGAAAAGTTTTCATTGCACTTAACTGACCACAGCTTTATCGACTGAAAGTTTTCTAAAATTATGTGAAACCATTTGATTTTCTCTCAGATCCTTATTTTATCTGCAGACATGTCATACGCTTTGATCCAATCGCCTTCATCTCTTTTGGTTTAGACATCATCTTACAGGCATGGTGACATTGACAACCTCATCAGTCAGTCAGATATGCTCGTTATTCGTTGCATTGTGTCTCGCCATTTTGGATGGACAGCTTTTTGTTTTGTAAATGATGAATGTTTTGCTTGCTCCACTGCTCATGTCTGTAGGCCGGCAAGTGGCTTAATGCTTTTTCCTCAACCTTCCCGCAAACCATGGAAATGTAATTTTGCATGGCAGCCTTTTAGAAGTTGCATATCTGTGTTTTAAAGAAAAGCTCTAGACGTTCCTGCTGCTGATCATTCATCTTTGTTGTCTTTAGTCTGAAGTGCAGTCGGCGCCGGAAGCTCAGTCAGCACAGAGGGATGAATCTCCAATGGATGTTGACCAACCGTCTCCTCTGGAGCAGGATGCTGCACCTCTGGGTATGATTTGAATAGAGCCATCTTATGACTTATGACTACACAATATTAATGTCACAGCTAGCGTTTTTACTTTTTTTTTATTTAGATATTACCTAGTTTGTTTAACATGTTAAGAAATGCAAAATAAATCAGCTATAAAATATGAATTTGTTTTTATTTTATTTTCACTATCTCAGAAAATACAGTTTATTTGCTTTAACTGTAATTTGTATAAAAGGAAACCACATAATTATTTTTAAATATCGAAATAAATAAAAGAAAGGAAAAACTTGTAGACACTTGTTGATAAATGATGATTTATTCACAAACCTGACCCTTTGTAATCCAAAGGAAGTCTTTGAGGTGAAAGTTGAGATGCATTAATTTACAATAAGTGACAAATTAACTATTTAGCAGTAGGTTTGCACTATATTTTTTCATATGATGTTTACTGTATAAACGCAAAGTATAATGCAGAAGGCATATTTTCTTGGACATCTTTCTGGTTTCAGTTTCCATTTTTCAGGATTTTAGATTTTTTTTTTTTTTACCTTAAATTCTATAATTTGCTCCATGGCTTTAAATGCCCTCTGATCACCTTTTGAATCAAATTATACTGTTTTCTAAGCTATTTCAGGAACCTGTTTAGAAAACCTTATATACAGTTTAAAGTCCAAAATGTAACCATATCTAAGACTTAAGTCTTCTTATATATCTTATAATATATATCGTTTTTTTTGTTTGTTTGTTTTTTTCCCTGTTAGTAGCTTTGGCGAACATGTCAATAATAATGTCTTTGTTGAACAATCAAAAAATGGTTTCCAAATGTACTCGAGCTACCATCTAAAATTGTAGTCATTTAATTTAATAATTCGTTACCAAATGGCACAAATTTTAAATCAACAATAAATTGCTACAGTTAGTTGCACTATAGATGTGAAATGTACACATTTATGACGTTGTACACCATGTGTTTTAACAAATCAAAACCTGTTGACTGGAAAAACTCATCTTCACTCAAAGTTTTCAGTATCCAGGAACCAGAAAAGCAAAAAAAGAAGTCCATATTTATTTTATCTTGTTCCTTTCAGATGAAGAGGGGGCCGCTCAGTCAGAGAGTGAGGAGAAACTTCCAGACCTACCTCTGCTCAGTGAGCAGCTGCTGTTGGATGAACTGTGGGATATGCTTGGGGAGTGTCTGAAAGAGCTGGAGGAGTCTCATGACCAGCATGCTGTGCTCGGTAGGTGGAATAATTAATAAGAAAACACATTTATAGGTACTGTTATGTTAAAGAAGCTGTTTTTGTGATATTTTAGCATAACTGATGATTTGTTACTCCAGTGCTCCAGCCTGCGGTGGAGGCCTTCTTTCTGGTTCACGCTACAGAGCGAGAGAGCAAACCTCCTGTTAGGGACACGCGAGAGAGCCAGCTTTCACACATTAAAGATGAGCCGCCTCCACTCTCCCCGGCTCCCCTAACACCTGCCACTCCTTCATCCTTGGACCCGTTCTTTTCCAGAGAGCCATCTTCCATGCACATCTCCTCTAACCTCCCACCAGACACCCAGAAATTCCTCCGCTTTGCTGGTGAGACTAGTTTTTATTTGTTTTCTATTAAAATGCCGCTTTTTTTCATGTGTGGTGTAGTTCCTAACCAGATGTTTGGGATTTTTTTTTTTTTCGTTTTAGAAACTCACCGCACAGTACTTAATCAGATTCTACGACAGTCAACCACTCACCTGGCTGATGGGCCTTTTGCAGTATTAGTTGACTACATCCGAATCCTGGACTTCGATGTAAAGAGAAAGTAAGAGGCATTTCTCTCAAAGTTGTCATCTCTTGTTGTCGCTAGTGATGTCCTCACTTGAAAATGAGATACAATATAATTTATTCATTTTTTCATCATTTGCAGGTACTTCCGCCAGGAGCTGGAAAGACTTGATGAAGGCCTGAGGAAGGAGGACATGGCTGTGCATGTGAGACGAGATCATGTGTTTGAAGACTCGTACAGGGAACTGCACCGCAAGAGCCCTGAAGATATGAAGAACAGACTGTAAGCTTTATTTTTCTTCCGTTTCATTCGCCCTAATTCAGAAGAGCTTAACCCAACCTTTACATTTTGTTACAGATACATTGTGTTTGAAGGGGAGGAAGGTCAGGATGCAGGTGGCCTGCTCAGGGAGTGGTACATGATTATTTCCCGGGAGATGTTTAACCCCATGTATGCCCTATTCCGGACATCCCCGGGCGACCGCGTCACCTACACCATAAACCCCTCCTCTCACTGCAACCCCAACCACCTAAGTTACTTCAAGTTTGTGGGTCGCGTTGTGGCCAAGGCGGTGTACGACAACCGGCTGCTGGAATGCTACTTCACACGCAGCTTCTATAAACACATCCTTGGCAAGAGTGTCAGGTACCTGAGCCAGCTCCACTTTACTGCAAGCCTGTCTGTTACTCTGGTTCTTAAGATCCGTCTTTATAAAAAAAAAAAAAAATATTCTTAATTTTTTATTTTTATTTTTTCTTAAATACCAATTCTGAAGCCAGTCTTTTGTATGTTATCAACATAAAAATCAGTCATGGGGTAAATCTTAAGTAATTATTATTTATAAATGCCATCATTACTGTCAGTTCTCACCTAAAATATTCCGTATTCACAAACGTTAGGTTAATATCAGATCTAGTTAATAAAGGCTCTTTATGAAATAGTTGTTTTCTTTTTGGCAGTTGTACATTTTAATGACAAATTATCTTAGCGTGAGTTGTCAGAAACTAGGGTTCAGACTGTTAAACCTTTATTCACAGTCCAGAGTTGTTGACTTTTCAGAAAGTCAAGTTTTCTTTTACTTTTTAAATTCTATATATTACATTAGATGAAAGATATTTTAAATTTAGGAAAACACATTTCTTTTCTTGGTTTAATATCCATATTAAGAGAAATTTTATACAATTTGCTCACACATAACCACACATTAAATGTCAGTGGATCCAAGGATTTGATAGATTATCAAGACTCAGCCATGTTTACTCCACTCATCTGAATCTTGTTTCCACAGGTACACTGACATGGAGAGTGAGGACTACCCATTCTTCCAGGGTTTAGTGTACTTGTTAGAGAATGACGTGTCCACGCTGGGCTATGAGCTGACGTTCAGCACAGAGGTCTGATATTTTGAATTGCCTCCTGTATATCATAATATAGATATACTCTTATGTTTAAATTCTCCTAAAAGCTGTAATTTTTAACCATCTCTTTTTAGGTTCAAGAGTTTGGTGTGTGTGAAGTAAGAGACCTCAAGCCAAACGGGGCAAACATTCTTGTCACAGAGGAAAACAAAAAGGAGTATGTTCATTTGGTGTGCCAGATGAAGATGACAGGTGAGCTTCTGAATATTTCAAGACTTATTTAGCCAAACAATGTTTTTAGTCTCATCAGGGTCTGCGACACACTCAAATGTTTGAGTTTCATGTTAGGAAATATCTCTGCATGCTATTTGAATAGATGATGTAGAAACAAAGCCAATAGGTGGCATCACAGTACCAGAGTTCTGGAACAAGACATCTACACCCTCTTTACACTTAGGATTGTTACACTCCAGTTAGTCAAACCTAATAGTTAAGTAATATTCTGTATAGAGCATCTTTGCCTGTTTGGCTCCAAGACCAGAATGTATCGAAAGAAGAGTTGAGACGAAGCCCAGCACCCACATGTCACAATAAAATATAAAGCCTGATCCTAAGTCCTTATTAAGATAAATATAAAATATCCAAATCAAAACATTAAGATTTAATTCTTACTACTGACATCTTCAGTTTTGTCCACCTTTTATAAAATAAAATCTTCACAAATCAACAACAATCCTTGAAAAAAAAATTGTAGCATTTCAAAAGCACGTTGCTTTATTTTGTAAAATGAAAAAATATATAAAATCACTTAACTGAATCGTTGCATTTACATAAAAAATTCAAGAATATTTAGAAACAAATGTTTTAACAGCTTTGGTCTTTACCTGTCTTTAATAAAATCCAGGGACATGTCTGAGTTTTAGTCTGAGGCGAGACAGCGACTATCAACGAGTGGTCTTGAAACCAAGACAGGTTTCTAATACTACAACACTGGTTTTGACAAATATATTTATTTTTTTTCTGTAGGTGCAATCCGCAAACAGCTTGCAGCATTCCTGGAGGGATTCTATGAGATTATCCCCAAGAGACTGATCTCCATCTTCACAGAGCAGGAGCTGGAACTGCTAATCTCTGGCCTGCCTACCATTGACATCGATGACCTGAAGGCCAACACTGAATATCATAAATACCAATCCAGCTCTATTCAGGTATACTTGAGCGAAATGTCCCTGATTTGAAATAGTGTTAAACAAAGGGGAAAGCTTACAGATTTGGGATACAGGCAAATTCCACCAAAGCCTAAATAAATCTTATAATGTGAAATCTTAGTCATGAAGCTTGTTTTTTTAGAACAGTGATTGTAAAATTTATCTTCAGTTGATTTCTTTTTACCTTGTAAAACACAAGGCCTGAGACCAGATGGTACATTGGAAAGGTTGTAAATATACCCTTTGTTTTCCCTCATTACTGCAACAAAGTGGGTAGAGGTGACATAAAAGTAAAGGATGCATTTCTTTGGGGATCCTACCTGCTTTATGGATCTAGATATTCCTGTTTACCAACTCCTTCATCTTTACCAAATTTGTGAGAGAGCATCTCTAAAGCCTAAAACAAAGTTCTTTTTTTTAAGGCTCATGCAAGTACTGAATTAAACCATGAGGGTCTTTAAAATAAGTCTTTAAAAGTCTTAGATTTAATAAATAAAAAGCCTCCTGCTTTACAAAATACAGGATGATTCAAAGTATAATTAATAAGTAAACAAATGACTTTATCTTTTACATTCTAGATCCAGTGGTTCTGGAGAGCCTTGCGATCCTTTGATCAGGCAGACCGGGCCAAGTTCCTGCAGTTTGTCACAGGCACATCCAAGGTTCCTCTTCAGGGTTTTGCTGCTCTAGAAGGCATGAACGGCATCCAGAAGTTCCAGATTCACCGTGATGATCGATCAACTGACCGTCTGCCATCTGCTCATACCTGGTAAGGAGCAAGCTACCTTATAATGCATCACTTTATAAACATCTGAATTAAAATGACTTATTTTTTTCTTTTTCTGCTGTCTATCCTCAGCTTTAACCAGCTAGACCTTCCAGCCTATGAGAGCTATGAGAAGCTGAGACACATGCTGCTGTTGGCCATTCAGGAATGCTCAGAGGGATTCGGACTGGCATAAAACCATGAGACCCAGAGACATGCATACACCTAATTAGTTTGCCTACTCCTGACACATTCACACTGATAACCTCTGAATGCACGCACACACTATCATAGACATTACTGGATTTCTCGTTGAATGGCTTAGTCTTGCTGGTTTCTATTCCATATAAAACAGGTAAAACCAGCAAGTAAAATAGACTGATATTGAGTACAACACAGAGAGCCTCATTCGGACACGCTTGTGTCTCCCTTCCCAATTTATCGCAAATGCAAGCGAGGATCCATGGACTAATAAGAGATGTTTTCTTCATTTAGTTTGATTTTCCTGTACAAAAGGTTTGGGAGTTTATGTTCATTTTTTGTTCTCTGGCTGTGTAAAAAGAAAAAAAAAGAATGTTGTTTGAATAGGATGGTTATAAAACCTTTGGGGAAAAAAAATGTTGTTGGTTTCCTGTTGCTAATTTGTGACATCACAAGCCTTGACAATGGGGAACATTTTTATGGGTGGGGGTGTATGAACAACACAAAGTTTTGGAGATATTCACCAAAATGCACTTTTCAAAGTTTTGTGGCATTTTTAAGGAAGGATGGTACAAACAATGAAGAGAAAACCTTAAAGTGATTTAAAAAACATTAACCATAAAATCTAGAGTATTTTTGGCTATTAAACCGCTGACCCAGCCTTGAGCCTTTGAACCAGAGTGGAATAACTACATGAATAAATGCATAAAATTTCATTCGTTGTGTCTTAAAAGTGTTTTAGCCATTATTTGCAGGTTTATATCTTTGGAAACTAAACTGCGGTCTTAGCTGGACTCTTCTCAGCAGAGTCTAAAGAGAGTGCTCTCAGTGAATTACTGAGGCTTAAAACTTTTCATAAAACTTTTTCAAACTTTTTTTCCCCCCTCTTCTGAAAATGGAAATGGCCAATAGCCAAATCACTACATGACTAACTAACCAGAATATTTAGCAGCATCAAACTGTCCTGTTAAAGAGCAGCTAATCTGAAGAACTTGCTCAAACTCACACAAATGGTGCGTTTCCACTGTTTCTGATCATATCCAAACATCAGATATGTTGCTTTTTGCACTAGGGATTGTCACATGATGGATAATTTATAAGCTAAGCTAGTGAATAAAATATTAATTCAGAATTAGGATTAAACACTTGAAAATTATCCAATAAGCAGTTGAGTTCAGAGCAAATGTAATATGTGTAGTAGAAGGTTGAAATCCATGCTAATGAAAGAGCTTTAAGCAAAAGCTTCTCTGGAGATGTAGATCCCCTTTTCTTGCAGTTTTTGCCCACTCTGCGAGAAGTGACTGATATCCCTGCTGATTGGTTGGAAAATGGTCTGATGAAGCTAACGACGATGCAGATGAGCCAAAGACCACAGATGACGCAGCAGATCTACAGGTTGATCTCCAGGTTGCAAAGTGCTGATGCAGTAATTTTTGTAAAAATGACATTCATCAAGTATCTAAACCTGTATTAAAGGTGTCTACCTCTTCAGCTGGAATGCAATTCATAGTCTTTAAAGACCAACTGAAAGCTTAGTCATTTTCAACAACGGATGATGCTTTTAGTCTGTTTAGTTTGTTGACCCATTCAAGATAATTTTAAGAACTTAATTTAGATCAAGGTTTACCACCTGTTATTTAAAGTTGACAGCACAACAGCAGGATCTCTGTTGTTCAGGGAGAATCTTATTTCAGCAGGAGGGGGGAGGTTTTTCTAACCTGTTAAACCAAAGCATTGTTTTTCCTGCTTGGGGTTTCCTTCCACCTCAGCTCTTGCATGCCTGCACCTGTCGCTCCCGCTTTTCCTCTTGGTTGTCCCCTGTGTATTCACCTTCCTTTAACCGCTCTTGCGTGCTTATTTAGTTACGCTTGAGGAGCCCCTATAACTTAGGGAATCGATCGTAGCCCACCCGCCGACGTTTCTTAGCTGCTTATTGAACCCTCCCCCACCTCAGCTCCCTATGAAAACCCTGCACACTACCAGTGGTGGAATACGCAGCGTCCATGTCTGATTTGTTACTAGCTGAGGCGTGATGAATTAAATTACAGTGCTGTCAAGCAGGACTTTCTTTTCAGCGATTCAGCCTGCCGCCTTACCTTATTTATGAAGTACTCATGGCTTCAATTGATCTCGGTTTTCTACAAACATCTGTTGCCGTCTTTGGGGTTTGATTTGAAAACAGGCAAATCCAGGCACGGATTTTGAGATGAATTTCATGAGATGAATTTCATGGCATCCCTTCTTTGAAATTCAACAATAATATTAACTAATTTCCTATCACAATTTCATTAGAAGGGCATGAAAAACTTTACTAACTGCATTAATTTCAGCCGATTCCACAGAGTATACTCACAATGAAAGACTACCGTTAAGGTCTAAAATCAGTCATATATTGGCAGCGCCTAGATAATAGATATATGGTATAGATGTCTCAATCCATGTTGCTAACATTGTTTAGCAAATCAATTAGTTTTGTGGATCTAGAGATTGAATGTGATTCATCTTCTATAGCCTCTGACCTGCTTACCAGACGAGAAGTATCCCCACAGCATACTGCAGCCACCATCATGTTTCATCCCGTAGTATTTCTTGTAAGTTATGGTTTACTGAATGTCTTTCAGATTGAAAAAATGATCAGCAGAGCTTCCTGGGGTTCCAGATTTTCTTCCATAAGGAGCTTTCCACTTTTCTTCCATGTTTGTTAGGATTCCAATAGGTAGAGTGCACTTTACTTACCAGAGGCCTGCTGACTTCGGATTAATTATCTTTATCTGGACTCTAACTAATTAGATGACTAGAAAGTAATTAAAGTCTCTGATATCCAAAGTTGAGGATGTGAGTAAAAAAAAAGAAAAGAAAAAATATATTTCTTTGATACAACATTTTAAAGTTTAACAAATAGCCTTTTTGGCTTTTCCTTTTTAGGCAGAGCTCAGTTCAAACGTCAGTGTTTACCAACTTAGCTAATAAGAAATTCAAGGTTGGTTGAGGTAATGAGTAGGCTACTTTGTATGTGAGCCAGGAACATGTTGGTCTAATATATTTTGCTGCTGTAGCTTTCAGTGACTGGGATAAATCACATGCTAGAGCAATCACTCAGTGAAATATTTTATAGTGTAGGACAGAAAATCTCTTCAGAAGACTAAATGCTTTCATTTTTTAAATCCACATCAGACACATTTATATTGAAACTGATTATATTGCTTTGACTTTTTAACCACTTCTCCAATCAGGTATTTCAGTATACAGCAAGCAAGCGCTGATGCAGAGGAAATATCTGACTTTGGCTTAATTGCATTATGTTACATGAAGTTTTATCTTGGATGTTTAAAAAATGCAAAATATCCCATGGGCCATTTAAAAATCTGACCAGGATTTCTCACATTTTTCTTCTTTTGTGAGCTTTTCCCTCCCAGCGACTGGATGAAGGGGAAGCCTGATATATCACGGTGGATGGGAGCAGCCTCAGTTTTGACAGCAGTGTGACAACTTGGGGAGGGTGTTATGTTGTGTTGACGATGTGTCTGAATTGTCATCACCTCCGGATGAGGCTGCCATCTTTGCTCTGCCTGAGAGGAGGTCAAAGGAGGAGAGCGACAAAACAAAATCCAGTATCCAGCTTTTTCCTGGGGTAGACTGATTTGTTAGATTAGTGCGTATGGCCTTTGCTCTCAGACACGAGGACAGAAGCTGCACAGCCCATACTAAACTAGAGCCGACAGTGCTACCTACATTAAAGGTCATTGTCTTTATTACCTCCATGCCTGTGCGGTTCCTACCCATCTACCTCTTTGCATCAGCAGCCCCCCCTCCTCTGGCGGCCTTTAGTTCACCTCCCCTTAGGGGCACAGCGGTGGGCACCTTGTGGCATTTTAGAGAAGACAAGCCACTGCATGAAGCTCAGCCCTGTAACATTAGAGATCATATAATATGGTCAGCTCCTGAAGGCTGTCATTTAGAGACTAATAATTAGACACTGAGGGAGATATAGCTGTTGTAAAGTCAGTGTTTTCATAGCTCCATCATAAATATATCTGTAGATATAGCAAGATCATTGTGCAAAACAGATCCTCGGAGCATATCATCTAAAAACGAAAGGTATGCAGATACCACATACAGTGGGGGTAAAAAAAAAAAATCAGTCAGCTGTTGATTGTGTAAGTTGTCCAACTTATAAAGGTCTGCAACTCATCAAAGATGCACCTCAACTATGTGTCAAAAAAACAAAGATCCATGAAATTACATTGTAGCATTTAAAAAAAAATCTTTATGTAAAATACGTTGGAAAAATAAGTATTTTGTACCATTAAAAAACAAAAAAAAACGCTGTCCGGACAGCTTTAGGTGAGCTCACATTTCATTTGCTTCTTGTTATCTTGATCTACTCAACAGTAAAACATGAAATGATCAAAAATCAGCAAAATTACAGATTGTTTAACGAAACTGTATTACTATCTTTGCAAGATATGCATCCTCTGTTGATCCCCATTTGGAAAGGCTAGTTTTCTGTGTGACTGGATAGCCTAACTAGGGATAGTGTCCTTTGGGATGCTCTGTGGTTCCTGGCTCTGCTATGTTATCCCTGTAAACTCGGAGGGAAATCTTGCAGAAAGTCCGTTTTGCAGAATCTGGTTCTGAGATTTGCCACCAGATCCACTTAATGCATGACTGTCTTTGGAGTCTGCTCATTCAGGAGAATGGGGTTCTGTAAGCAGATTCCTTTTGTCCAAACTGTGGTGGGGGCAGCATTGGGTGTCCCTTTGATGTGTTTCTGGGAGTGTTTTGAGAGGGAGTAGTGAAGCTTCTATAGTTTTCAAAGGAAACTAGCGTGGACGTTGGTCCTGATTTCCAAAATTGATATCATGGTTACAGTAGCATAATATTTGTTGCAGTGACAGAGGTCAAACATTTCCTCCAAGTCTTCACTGGCTTTCAACACACTCGAGAAGTTAATAAACAAACCACTAGGCTTTGTTTCCAAGTTTGAAGATGTTTCACCTCCCATCCTGGAAGCTTTTTCAATTCAAATGTCAGTTGAGTTGACATGCAAATTGAAACTGACGAACGGGTCCACCCCTTTGGAATGGGGGTCGTTTGATCCAATGAGAAACCAAACAACCTCTTCACAGAGACCAGAATGTTCAAATTTTTGATGAAGAAAATAGGTGGTTTGATAGCAGCATTAAGGAAGTCATCTATGTTAAGAATTAAAAACCAACCTTAAACAGGGGAACTGGACTCGGATTTCAGCTTTCAAAACCTACAATGCAGCAATAGAGTTAATCCCTTCCCGCTATCATCACAACCCCAACCCCTTTACAGGGGAATAGAAGACCCCACTTATTCACCCAGGCCAACAATTCCCTTTAATGACCCCCCTTTTAGAGACATAGACGTGTATGGGGCATTGCAGGCTAACAAAAGAAGCCAAACAACCCCCATTCCAATGGGGTGGACCCTTTCGTCCTTTTCAATTTGCATGTTTAAGCAAAAACAAGACCTTGTTGGGCCGCTGTATAAAACAACTCGCTATTTCTGACATTTTAAATAGAAAAAGCAAAACATCTTCAAACTTGGAAACAAAGTTCAGCAGTTTTTTTTTTTATAACTTTTTTTGGAATGACTCAGAACTGGATGACTGAGAATCTTCACCAGCACCTTGAACACACCGTAGGTATTTTGGCCCATTACTCCATGCAGTGATGTTTTG